ACCAGCCCAGTCATCACTCTTGGCCTGATCTAGAGCCCAGTCTGGATCCTCAGAGCACGCCTTGCCCGCTGCCCAGGGGACAGGCCCCGCATCCCGCCGCCAGCTGGCCCCGGGGAGGAGGTGATGGCTCAGGTAACCGGCGCTGGCTGGGCAGGTGCAGACACCGCCAGGGGCCGCCGGCCCTGGACGGATTCCCGGGGGCTCGGTCAGCAGGAGCCTCAGACCCCGTGTGCCCGGCTGCCTAGAGAGAGATGCCTGGGAGAGGCTTCCTGGTCTCCGAGGTGCTCCCGTGGGGTCAGGGAGACCCTGGGGTCATAGAAACCTTCGCTTCCAACTGGGGATACTGAGCGAGGAGCCAGGAATTAACCCCTACGGTACTGACACCCCTACTCCTTCAGGGGTGCCCTTTCGATGCAGTGGGCTCTGCAAGGGCCCTTCAGAAAGGGGCTGAATGTTGCAGCAGTGGATGGTGGAAACATTCATTCATTCAGGAACCGTTTGTGAATGTTGTAGGACCCAGGGCTACCTACTGTTCAAACCCTCATCAACAGGGCGACTTAAAATCCCAGAAATTCCTTCTGATGCAGTTCTGGAAGCAAGAAGTCCAAAATCAAAGTGTTGACAGGGCTGTGCTCCCTCTGAAGGATCTAGGGGTGGGGTGGGCCCTCCCCTTCTTCCCTCGTCCCCTCCTCTCTTCCCCTCTCCTCCTCCCCCTCCCTCCCTCCTCTCTCCTCCCTTCCCCACCCTTCCCCAACTGAAGGTGGCTCCTGGCTGCCTCACGCCTGGCGCCTGGCTTTCACATTCATGTCCCCTCACATTCCCGCCCCCTTCTCTTCCAAGCACACCTGACATGTCTCTAGCCCTTGAAGATTTCCACCCCACGAAGGTACGGTACGCAGAAGCCTTTTCCCTCAGGTCCTGTGAGTGTGACCCCACTTGGGAGTGGTGTTGTGGGAGGCTTAGCTTTTCACAGCAAAATGGACAGAACTCAAGGCAACTAGCCAGCGTCAAGGAAGCCAGAAAGACGGACAGACGCTGGAGGATTCCGCAGACAGGGGCATTGCAAGGATGCAAAATGGACCAACGGAGAAAGCAAGATAAGCCTGGATCTTGATCACCGAGTTGAGGTTTCTGAGGTTAAAAGGGCAGGAAGAGCCCAGGGGGGTGGAAGGCACGCTGGCTGGCAAGGAGTGAATTTTATAGATGAGACCTGGTCACGATGCAGGCTGGGTGGTGCTGTCGCAGCCAAGTGGTGCCGGAGACCCAGCACACACAGGGGCCACCCAGGGTCTCCAGGGGACCGGCCTCGCGTCCCTCCCCTAGCGGGGCAGGAGCCAGACACGCAAAGCCCGTGGCAAGGGGGAAGGTGAGCTGTGTTCCGCCGTGTCCCTCCTCCGCTGTGTTGTGCTGGAGGACGCTGCTTTGACTGGTACATGAGATGAGAAGAGAAAAAGCCTGGCTCGGCCTGACCGGCAGCACTTACGCACTGAAACAGGCCAGAATGAGCGCTGACTCCCTCTGTGATGCAGGAGTTGCCTGCCGGAGACCAGCCCGGGGAGGATCCACAGAAGCACACTGGTAGTGTATCTGACGGACCGAACACAGAACTTCCCCCGAAAGGCCGGCAGGAGCCAAAGAGCCAGGGAGGAGGCAGGAAGGGAGCCCCGGTTCCCGCCACCCCTGGGCTTTCCCTAAATGGAGAGAACTCAGGGCCGCTTCACCGCCATCTTGGATTCTTCTGCTCCAGGGGCTGAAACCTGGTCGGGAGGTCAGGTCCTGCAGGGACAGGGCCCGGACTTCAAGGACTTGAAGGACCCTTGCAGAGGTCACGGCTTGACCTGGAGGCTGGCCGGCAAAGGCACAGAATGGCGGGCATGCCCCTGGCTGGGCCTGAAAGCGGGCTGGCCAAGGGCGGGCTGGCCAAGGGCGGGCTGCCCTGGAGGGCTTGAGTAGCAGAGTGGAGGGGCCATGTGTTCCTGGTCAGCTGTGCGCTAGGCCAGGGCTTGCGTATGGAGTTCAAGTGCATGGGGACAAAATCCCTCCAGAGCTTTCTCAGCAAAAAGAATCAGTACAGGGAAGTAGGTGCTTTTGAAATGTTGGGGGTTCAAGGAGCCCCCCTCAGCTGAGACCGCGCTCCCTCACATCTGCGCTTCTGTCCATCTGATCTACATCACACAGAACTGTCACATCTCCCAGTTCAGGGAAGGTAAGAGCAGGAGTGACCTCAAGCATGCAGAACTCCAGCAGAGACCAGACATGGTAAGAAGCGTCCCAAAAACACAAACTCGGATTATTTGTTAAAGCCTCCGGGCTCTTGCCTTCAACATCCGCCAAGGTAGTGGTCCGTAGGCTCATTTGCAAAAATGAAGCGTGCTGTTAATCAGTAACAGCAGAAAGGGACTGTCTGGTCTAGGCCTGGAGGCCGCCTGTGTCCAGACCCAGCTCATGAATCCCTGGAAGAGCCCAGCCCAGGTGGGATACGCCTTCCTCCTCGCTTCTCCAACCGGGTCAGTGGTTTGCTCAGGGAGATTACGCGTGGCCTAATTAAGCAGTTGCAAGTAAAATGGCTTTTGCAAAGTGGAGGGACCACCACAGGCATATCAGTCATCTCTGTTAAAACGACAGCGTGAATGAATGGTTTTTTAATTAGGAAATCACAGGGACTTAATTTGCAGAGGTCCCGGGGGCTGTGGGGGTGGTGGGGGCGGGTCCCAGAGACCTGCCTGGGGCTGTGTCTCCAGATGCGTGCACTAGAGCAGGCTTCTAACCCAACTGGGTCTTGCTTTCCCACTGAAAGCGGAATCTAATTAAACTGATGTCCATTAAACAAGATCACCCGTGAGCGGCTACTCCAAGACCGTGAGGCGGGCCAGGACTCAGCTTCCGCTCTGGGGCGCCCGCCCACCTCACGCAGGGGCTGGACAAGGGGAACTGGCAGGCGGGCAGAGCGGGTGGAAAATTGGTAACTGAGCGTTCTTGCCAGAAGACTGGAGCTAAGGGAGAGTCTTGGCTGGCCAGCAGGAGCTTTGCGTGGGCCTGTTCTGAGGCGCGGCCTGCATGGCCGTGCTGGCCACCAGAGGGACCAGTGCAATTAACCTTTGTTAAATCAAGCCCAGCAAGACACCTGTGCGTTTTCCTTGTATTTCACTCACTGGCCAGCCCTGACGCTTCAGCTATTTCTGACCTTCCCCAAAATTTATATGCTCATGTAGACATTGAAGTGAGAACACACCAAGTGTGCAGCTTCAAAAATAACTACCCACCAACAGGCCACCCACCTTCCTGAGCGTGGCGTTTCCATTCCTAATCTAATCTTCAAAAAGACACCAACAGTACTTAGGATACACCCCTCTTTGCTTCCTGGTCGCCAAAGTCGTATGTTAAAAGCACAATAGGGGGCCCTCCCTGGTGGCGCAGGGGTTAAGTCTCAGCACTATGAAGCTACTGGCAGCCACTGCAGTTTGAGTTCGCTCCCCAGCCAGGGAGTGACCCACAGGGTGCAGCAGACCTCTCCTGTCTCTCCAAGGCCCCCCTCAGCAGGGGATCTGAGTAGATCCGCCTGTTCTGCTCCCCATTCTGTCACTGGTGAATCCTCTCATCCTCTGCACCCCAGTTTTTGGATGCATAAATAAATCTTTAAAAATACTTTAAAAAATATGGCCCTCCCTGGTGGCGCAGCGGGTTAGAGCACAGCACTGAGAAGCTAAAGCCGCTTCCGCATGAGTTCGATCCCCGCCTGCCCCGGAGGTGACCACATGGCGTGGCAGACCTCTCCTGACCCGCCCGCTGCTCCCCTCAGCAGTGTACTTCGTCGATCTGCCTGTTCTGCTCCCCACTCTGTCTCTGGTGAAACCTCTCACCGCCCCTGAGCCTCTGGCCTGTACCCCAGTTCTGTATGTACAAATAAATCTTTAAAAAAAAAAATACTTAAAAAAATAAAAGCAAAATAGTGGGCAGATACTGCTTTCGCTCTCATTGCCTGAACCACCAAGCTTCGAACACGACATGCCCTTCACTAGTGCTCATGGACTGTGTGACTTCCTGAAAATTTGAGCAAGACTCTCTGCTTGCCCAGCTGAGCATCAGTGACTCCCCACCACCCCAGCTCCCCTAGAACGCCAACTGCACATTTGTGGTGACTTCTCTTCACAGGTGCAAGCACGGCCCTTCTCCCCGGGGAGTCTGAGCCACGGGTGCCCGGGACCCTCACCGCGGGCACACTCAGAGTACACACTAGGCCTCACGTGCCTGTGAGCGGCCCCGGGCGACTGTGTTTTTGTTGTTCTTTGTTAACCTTTTGCTTCCAGTTCCCCATTCTGTCAGCTGCCCTCACCTGCTGGGCCAGAGCCTGCTGGATCAAGTGTGTGAACAAAGAGGACTTTGTCACTTAGGGTGTTCAATGTTTAGCTTAAAGCTTAACACGCAGGTTTAATGTTTAGTTCCAGACAGGTAGGGGTGCGGGGCTCTGGCGTCTGAACAAGTGGGAACTAGGAATCGCCGTCCTTTTCCACACAGACGATAAATAGCAAATGACACAGAGTATGCAAAAGCATGTCTGCATACAGCAAACACGCAGCAAGATCTCCACAGAGGCCCTTTCTCTCAGTGCCTCGTGCGCTGACACGGTTCCTCCAGAGATGATGGCTCCCAAACTTCACGAGTCTATTTCCCTCTCGTGTCGAGTCTATGTTGCGTGTCCCAAGAGGAGGCAGAGGCACCAGGGACTCGGATCCCTCCCCTCCAGGGTGCTGTGCATGTATCTGCATGCTTGGGGCGGGATCCGCGGTTTCTGGGTGCCAGCTGGTGGGCTGGTGACGAAGAGGTAGGCCCACGTGGTGTGCACCCCTTAGAAACGCATCCCTTGGCGAGAATGAGTCACGTGGTCACGGGGAACAGCAGGCGGGATCGGGGGCCGTGGTCCCCAACAGGCATGTGCCCCCTATGGCTCTGTTCAGGGAACAGAATACGGAAAGGTAACCAACAACTAGCAGGCTTTAGCAGGAGAGTATTTCCTTGTTTGAGTTTGCAAGCAAACTGTGAAACTGCTACGTAATTATTTTATGCAAACCCAACAGGAAAAAAAAAGATTTACATGAAAAGGTGACAGAAAGGCTATTTATTTTTGAACTGGAAAATAAGCCTGAGAGATCATTTGGTCCCAAGACCTTGTCTCCGCCAGCACAGGGAAAGGAGAATCCAAAGGCCGGCCAGGGCCCACAAGGCAAGTGCTCCTGAAAGACGCGTGGTGTTAGTCCTACTCCAGAGGAAACCCTCGGAGAGTCTGACGTGTCGCTGGCGCCTCAGATTTAGCGCAAAGCCCTGTCTTGGACCTGCCTCGGCTGTGAAAGCGTACGGAGGGACATGGGAGGCAACCTGGTGACGGCAGCCGCTTCACTTGCTGAGACACTCGGGCGGTGAGCAAGGCTCGGCCTGTTTCCTTGTTATTGCTGCCTCAAAAGCAATCAAGCATCTTGCTAATATCAAGTCCAAAGCGTAACTTACACCTGTAGCCCTATCACCTGTAAATTAGAAACAAATTCTTGTATAGATTGGAAAATTCACGCCAGCAAATGTAAAACATTACTCAAATAGATTCAGTGACCTTTTTAAAAAAGATTACAAAATTGAATTTATTGAGTTTCACACAAGATGCACTTATAAAATTAGTATTGAATGCCATTTTAACAGGAGAAATGAACATTGTTCCAATTTCCCAATATATTCTGCAAAGGCAATGAAAACTCTTCCAAAAATGACAGCACTGTAACAGAATAATTCAAGCTGAAACGGAAGACAAACCCAAGTCCTACTCGTGCTCTGTCAGGGCAGTTTGGCAAAGTTTCCCCCAGACCATTCACATTCACCGTGGACGCTGTTTCTTTTGACGGGGAAGATGGAAAAAAAAAAATGAGGAACAATTAACATGGGGCCTCACGGAAACATACACAACGCAATTAAAAAGTCACTGCAACTTAGAATGCTCTCTAGCTCCACCACAGCGCTGCTGCACACTTTCTCCACGTGAACCTTCATCTTCAGGTGTCTTGAGTTAATGCAAAACACATTCACATTCATTCACTTTTGCATTTCGAGTGAACAAGGTACAGCATTCAAACTCGCTTCAAATTTCACCCAGGAAAGAGCCAAATCGCCTAAGACTGACTTTCTGTGCCTGCTCCGCCTGACACGTGGCAGAGCGCTGAAGTCACCCGCGCACGCTGCAGCGAGAGGTGGGGAAACCTTCATGAGCACACCGCGGGGGGCCGTGCGGGCTGGCGGTGGCGGTGACCAGCCCTGACGTGGCACGCACAGCGCCAGAAGCCCCTTGGGTGGCGCCTGCCCCCGCCGCCCACAGCTCCTCTCGCCACACCCCCCCCACAGGCACCCCACAGCCAGCAGACACAGGCAGCCCAGGCGCCCCCACACGCGACACGAGGCGGGGGGGCTCTGCACGCCCTCCAGGGTGTCCCCTCCGGCTCCCCGCCGCGTGGACGCCTCCGGTCCTGCCCACGGTGCGTGACGCCGCCGGCTGTAAAGCGAAACCGGGTCGCCGGACCTGACGTCAGCACTGCTCAGTGTACAAAGTGCCTTTCTGTAAGGGTCTAATGTCCCCGCTGCCGTGCTGCGACAGCTCACGCTTTGCTGACAAGAGGAAACCGACAAATCCTGGAACCGTTCCTCAGCGATGCGGGACCTCCGTGAACGCACGTTTCAAATCGCCAAGCTGGCTTAAGGAAGATCTTTCTTTTTCCATAAAATGCTACTATTCATCATGTCATGTTTAAGGGAGTCTTTTATTCTGATTAATTCAGATACATCTTCAAGGGTGGCTCTGGTGGCAAGGACATTTATCTTCAGTGTAATTATTTCTGTTTATGCTTTGGCAGAGGAAGTCGCTCCCGGCGGGGCGGTGCCGGTGTCCGGGCGGGCGGGCGGCCGGGCCGTCTGGAAGCGCAGCTACGGGAGGTGGGACGCGGCCGACCCGCCGGGGACCGGGCGCTCGCAGGCGCTCGGCCACCACCTCCGGCCGGCCCCACGCATGGAAGAAAGATACTAAGATTCGCTCTCAATAATTTAAGTTTTTAAATAAATATCGACGCGCCACCCGCAGCCTCTGTCCGTCCCGCAGTCGGGACGCGGCCCCTGGGCGCGCGGCCGCGGGTCAGTCAATGCGGTTCCCGCAGATTGTGAACCTGTCTATCTCTAGCAGATCTCTCTTGGAGGACCTGTGCTTTAGTTCAGAGTTCTCCTGTGTTATGTCCTTCTCGTCGCCGTCCGGGGTGGTCAGAAACTGGTCGGAGTTGCTGGTCACAAGTAACGGCACGACGCTGTCCTTCGGGTGGGGCGGCTGGCTGGTGACGGAAGCGGACAGGGTCTCTTCTGTGGAAGAACAGACCCACGTCAGAAACGGACTTCGCGGCCGCCGACGCGAGCTTACCGTGCAGGCTGCCGAGCACAGGCGCCGGCGACCTGACTCAAGAAAGCCGGTGAGAGCCCGCGGCACACTCAGGGCGCACTCAGAGGGCTCTTCTGTGGCCACGTCGCGGGGCGGCTTCCCGCCCAGCGGGCCCCTTCCAGAAACCCGAGCCCTAACACGACGTTGCTGGACTTCAGGTCCTTGCCAGCTGGCTCCGTGCTCAGGATGCCAGGGCCCGGCGGGGTGACGTGCGGTCACCTCGACTGCACTGGGTCAGCTCGTCACTTCACGAAGGACAAACCGGGGCAAAGCCAAGCAACAACCCCCCTGTGCTTCTCTGGGCCTCAGGCTCCCGGAGCCCGGCTCAGGGACCAGGGCGGGGTGGAACCCAGCGACCCTGGAGTGGCCCCGGAGAGCGGCTTCCTGAGGCCACGCCAGGCCGGGCACGGAGCAGGCTCACAGCAAACCACCGGCCCAGGGCAGACGAGGCGCGCACCTGCCGACCCTGACACGCTCGTCTCTCCGGTGACTCCTCCCTGCCTGGCCCTAAACGCCACTGCTCCTGCTTGCCTCCTTTAGAACAGGACGAATGGACGCTGTCCTGAGAATCGGCCCCCCTTTCACCCCCAAATTGGCCCAAGCGGCCTGACTGCCAATTCCCCTGAATGCTCGCTGGCCTGGGGTGTCCCGGCCTCAGACACCTACAGACGCTTGTGTATTTTACTACACGGCCCCGGGGGCCCTGGCCCTGGCGCGTTCTGAGTGCTCTCCCCCAATAGACTAGAAACTTCCTGAAAACGAGACGAACACACTAATTCGCTGAGGTGCTGAAGCAGCTCAGCTAACAGAAGCCTGACAGGCCCATGAGGAATTCTCCAGGTAGCTGAAACCACGCCGTCCTCATGCCATTAATGACTGCAGAACAAATTCTCTGTAGGATCCCTTCTATTCTTTGCAGGGAAAAAGCTATTTTCAAATGATACAAATTTTGACTCAGCTTGTTTAGCTCTCTGGAGAGCACACACGTGACTCTCTCTCACGCCAGCCAGGGCTGGCTCAGTCCGAATCTGACCCCCTGCCCCTTTTGCGGAGCAAACTCCCAGAATACCGAGCGCAGCTCTCGGGATGCGGACCCAGGCCTCGGTGATGTCGCTAAGGCTGGTCCCTGTCCTGAGGGTCCCCTCACCTGGCTGATCTCTCCAGGACTCAGTTCGGGCCGCGCCACCTCCAGGAAGCCTCTCTCCTGCCCTCCCCCAAGGGCCTGGATGCCACCTGCGCCACCAGTCCGTGAGGCCCCGACCGTGAGGCACACTGACCGCCTTCCTGCCTCCGGAGGGCACCTCCTGTGCCCCTGCACCATGGCACCGCACGTTTAGAACAAACTGAGGATGCTCAATGTCCTGTGAGCACGTATTTGTACCAAGAGCGAACAACAGTCTAGAACCAAAAGGCAAGTCGTGTCCCACTCGTGCCCTGGAAACATCTAACTCCTCCTCACCTGCACAACCCCACAGCCACGGGCTCCTTCGGGTCTACCTAGAATCAGCCAGCAGTCCCCTGGAGAGGGTGCAGGTGCCCCCGCATCCTGCCACTGGCCTGTCGCCACCCTGCTGGAGTGTCCCCTGCAGCGCTCGCTCCCCAACATAGTGCGGACTCACGGTCGCCTTGT